TTCCTTCACGAGACCCTTGAGTGTGATTTACGAGTGACAAAAGAAACACAGACTGGGAGGGAGAGACAGAGAGAGCAAAAAGACCAGAAGGAAGCAGTCAGAAGTTTGGGGGTTGCGGGTGGGGGGGCAAAAGTTTCCAAAAGCCCTGAGGAAAGGCCTTTGACGGAGCAGGTGCTGAAGCTTTTCATGCATATGTTCTTTAAGTGCCCACTTCCAAAAGCAGTATGCAGGATAAATACACACCAGAACCAAAGGCATAGTACAGTATCTTGTAAACCTGCAGCCTTGAATGTGTGCGATCACTCCTCCCTCCTGAGTCTTTCAATCATAACTTAAAATATAGACACATACCACACTGATGATGATGAATGGCCCACTTGTTAAACTGTACAGAATGTTTTTTCTTCTCAGCTGGGCCACATTGCTCCAAGAGAATGATGTCAGTTTATTATAAAACTGCTCCGATTAGAGTGAAATGCTTTGACAAAGCACAGACCAATAAGATTTATACTAAATACGTCAGTATAATTACTGCTGCCAAGGAGGTCATGTTTAAGGTAGCATTGGTTTGTTGTTTAGCAAGATTACAGAAAAGGTCATAGAGCGATTGCTCTCAGGTTTATGCCATTGGTGAGTCTTGGCCCAACTTAGTGCCCATTAAGTTTTAGTGAGGATCTGGATTGACCATTTAGCCCACTTAAAGAGACATGTACGTCATTACTGAACAATCTTTTAAATAGCCTTTTATTTAACCCTTTATGACTCAAAAATTGTTTGATGAGCAGACTGACAACTCAGTAGTTCAACGCCAATCCATCTAGCCCATTTTTCCTGAATTAAGTTTGGGTCAGAAGTTCCCGCGTCTCAAGCATGTCTTTGTTGAGTGGGTCCAACCAACAATCAAAGCCTATATTCAGTGGTCTAGTTGTAAAAAAAGAAGAAGGGGGACAGTTGAATTCTTTATTTTTTTTAGGAACCGTACATAGCCTAATTAATATGGCCTATTAACCTATTAACCTAAATTAATATGCATAGTATGGTTGTTATATGTCAGGTATGCCATGTCATTGACTTTGACCAAAGCACCTTACAGTAGAACTACAGTGCTATTACTGCCCCTACATAGTTAGGGACAAATGCAGAGGACAAATTTCCCACTGGGATCAGCTTCATAGTCATGGTAGACCACTTCTTTGATTTTATGTATTTTGCTCAGGCTACTCATAAGCCCACAGCCTGCCAATATTGAAAGGGCAATATTATGGTGATTACTGTTTATAGTCGACATTTTACATATTCAGTAATAAAATGTCACAGGGATGGTATGGGGGGTGTGATCATTTAAGAAGGGGGATGATTTTTAAGAATTGTTTAAATTTGGGGCCTGTCATCTCTCCTCAACTCGAGTACTGGTTGTATTCAAGAGGGATTTTGTGGATATCCAGAAGTGACCAGCATCCAGCTCAACTCAGAGAGCAATGGAAACTCCTTGTAAGGTGAAAAAACTAACAAAACAAAAAAAAAACTTATGAATGTGGGCTACCTAAAAGAGCAGAACCTGCAGAGTGCTGCAGTATCTTTGGAAAACTCCATAATGCCTCTTTAAACTAGTCTGTGGGTGTCTGTGTCATCCCATGCTTAACTACACACCTGTTTGCATGCAATAGCACCGAAAGAAAACATGACCAACATAGCAGCTGTTTTTAAACAAAAAGTGCATTGCCTGACATAAGGCCTGGCTTAGAACGGTTCATGATGTTGATGTTTCTCATTAGTATACATGGTTGTTTTATAAAATAAATCAAGGAATTGATATGACAATCAGTGAGGCAAAAGCTTTTAAGGCACAACCAGATGTTTTCTGCTCTCTGATTTAATATTACAGGTCACGGTCTTCACTGTTCTACCAACAGAAAAGTTGTTAAAGCTTTGCGTCACATCCAGACCATTTAATAAAGGATTACATGCCTGTATGGATGCATTTACAACACGCTGAAGGAGGTAAAGCTTCCTAAGTGCCATTTTAGGTTGTTTTTATTATTTGCCACTTATCTCACCCATAGTACACTATCTAATGCATAAGAGCTTGACTTCTGCCTAGACGTTATTCAGGTTATCTGGGGGAATTATCTCTTTGGTAGCGGTTTGAGCTCTGGCTGCTGTTCTGGTTCTGAGGTTATTTTTATCCACCTTTAAACATTCCTTACATATCAACTAAATAACACTGCCCTAAACCATTGGCAACAAGAAATCAAGCTGATTTCCATTGACCGGGTTTCCATCCCAAAGCTCCAATCAACCTTTACATAAGTGGTGCAGTTCATGCCTTCATCCAGTCAGGCGAAAGAGAAAACAATCCTCAGTTTGAGGCTCACTCTGTTGGGAAGGAAAAGGAAACCCAGTTGAATAGCGGCTCTTGTTGTCAAAGACACAAGGATATTGTGTGCTACTCTGAGCTACAACATCTGTGTAAACTACAGAGCATTCAGAAAGGTTGGATCAGCCCAGTGAGAGCTGATGGGGTCAGGCCAAAGAGCTGGTAGGAAAGCAAGAATTATATTAGCTTTAGCTATACTAAATGTTTCAAGTTTTTTTTCAATATAAAAACATCATAAGAATATCAATAAACTAGAGTAGTTGTGTTAATATAGTGTCTTTGAGTGTCTTCCATGTACAGAATATTTGCTAAGACTTTTTTTCTTGTATAAATGACATGGAAAAGGCGTCTTTTGGTTCTGTTGAGGTGTTCTGAAGCCTAGGTTACTTTAATAGCACCCTTCAACTCATCTGCTGGGGATATATTGTCTCTCATATTTCTCTTGGCACTACTCCCTAAATTCTATTAGATTTAGGTCAAGTGAGTTTGCTGAGCTGTGAAGCATGTTAACCCCTTGATGGCTGGATTTATATAAATGTGATTTTTGCCTTTAAGTAGTTAGTAAATTGAGATCTGTACATTTCTATTGATGTAAAAAAAATTGTGACAACAATTCTAATTCTAATGTTCAATGAGACTGTGATGGACCAGTTGTACCAGGAACGAGTGCTTGTTCAGTCCAACTGAATATGTAAATACTGACTTTGGGTGAAAATACACTAGGGCTGTAACTAATGATTAATTTGCAAAATTGATTAATCTGCAGATTATTTTTTCTGATTAATAATGGGATAGCAAAAGGCTCCTTAAAGAACACTTTTTATTAAATTAAACCAGGTAGAACAAAAAAAAAAAATCCACTTAAGGAGTTCTAGGTGGAGCATATTGACAGACAAAAAAATATGTTTATCTTGAATGCAAAATGTTAACACTTTTTTTACAACTTTGGTATAATTGCTGCTCAAGTTGGGGGGCTCTGTCAGGTAAAGTTTGTTTCAGAGTCTCTTTGCTCAAGTTAACGAATAATTAATCAATTACTAAATTAGTTGATGATTATTTAAATTATCAATTAATCATGATGAATCCGATTAATTGTTTCAGCCCTAATATATACACTGTTTGTGAAATAGTAATATCAACAGTTTGCATCATATTTGCAACAAAAGACCCTGGAGGGGTCTATACCATGGTCATCACAGCAGGTATTGGTACTTTTGGCTGTAAGTCTTGAAGCTAGTTAATTGTATAATCCCATAAGGCTCATTAGCAGAGGAAGGCATGAAGTGTCTTGGAGTTAATTAGTGGATGACAGTGCTGACATCACAGTGACCCATGACCAATGGATGGCACGGGCTCCCCAAACCATCACTGACTGTGGAAATTGTACCCTGGACATAAAGCTGCTTGGGCTCATTTAAAAAAGCATTGCTTTGTGTCATAAACAAGCTGACCTCAAACCAAAGGTGCCATCATGGAATATGAGGTTGAATAAAACTCACCAAAAAGCCTTGGATGCACTTCAGTCTGGGATTTTCACACCCTAGGAACCTAACATTCAAATTTAGTTGAATATTCGTTCTTTTATTTATCACTTGTAGATAAATTATTTCTAGATTAGTTATTTCTCCACATATTCTACCATGTTTTCCTTTTACTTAACTTTCTGGTAATAAGCTGGAACAGAGAACTTCAATGGTCTTGGAAAGGGTGTCTATAACTATCCGGTCAGCAGTCTTCCTCAGGATTGTGTGGATACAAACAAAACAGCTGTGACATTCAATTATGCTAAAAAATGATGTTTTGAAAACTGATTTTGGGTTTTAATTCTGTATAAGCCATAACACAAATGGCGGAAAATAACTTCTGATATTTATTGCAAGTGCTACAGTAATAACCCTCCAACTTTTTAATCTCCTAAACTCAAGGGCCTTTGGTAGGGACACTATAGATCTTAAGTTGAATTGGTCAGATGTCATTGGTCCAACTCATTATGCATGCTCCTATTTTTTTTATGCTTGACATGAGCATCAGGGCGCATTTCGTTTAAACAGCATTTTTTGTTACATTTATACAAAATGTATAAGCACTACACACAAAATATGCTGTTTATGAATGTTTGAAGCATCGGAATGATGCAAAATTGGGACAACTTAACACTTTGACAAGGGTTCATTTGAAATTACCAGTGACTAGGACGGAAGGTAAATATGTGCCTTTTTAACCAAATATAGTCTAAATATGTCTGTTGTTTATGTATTTATCCAGTGTTTTCTTTTGAAGAAATAGAATTGTGCAGAGTTAAAACGGAGGTAAAACCCATTCTTATTTTTTTTTATCTGATATGCTGATATTCTCTGTATTGTAAAACAAAGCAAAATAACATATTCAAGGGACTGCAAATAGATTTATTGTATTTACATAGGCATAGAACTATAAGAGGAACTGACACTGAGCATTTAAATTGTTAACTTTAATATACAAGTTGTGAGAAAAGAAGCAACTGCCGCAATAACATTTTATTGTTTATTATAAAGATGTTATTTAGATAGAATTATTGGTAGGGACATGTCCCTATGGTCCCTATGCAAACATACTTGCCTAATGGAAGCCACCTAAATCTCACCTTTCCCGCAGGCTCCCCGCTGAATGAAGAGGACAGGTGGCTGCTGCAGCTTCTGCGCCCTGCGGCTCACCCTCTTCAGCTCGCAGATACTGCGGTAAGACACCCCGTCGCTCCCGCACACCGGCTCCGTGGTCTTGCAAACGCAGATCCCGCCTTTGCTTCTCCTCCTCACCGTGACGCTGTACGCCACCCCGCTGGAGATGGAGCACTCCAGCCCGTCTCCGCACACCGGATCGCCCAGCTTGCCCCCGCCGCCGCAGGCTTCTCCCTCTCCGGACGCGCACACCGTGCAGCAGCGGCAGACATCCAGGGCTTGTCCCGCCGGACAGTCGGCCGGCAGACGGGGACACATGGATTTGACGCACACAGAGGGGCATCCGACCACGAAACGACTGGAGCTCTGCGCATCTGCCTGCACTGACGCTGCGGCCACGCACAACAAGAACCAAAACATTGTCCAAACAACTACAAGATGATTTTAAAAAGTAAAAAACAAAGTTTGAATTAAAAAAAAAGAAGAAAAGTTCGACCCCGGTTTGTTGGGCTATGGGATGGGAGAGCTCTTTGCTGAGGGGGGAGTCATTGCAGCTGGAGAGGCATTTATCAGAACCTCGGCGCAACCAATCTCTGCGCACGTTTTTACTGGCACCGCATCACACACGCAACTTTCCACTCAGTGGGGAAAATGCATGGGGAGTGGTGCGTTCACGGGACGCACTGAACGGGAAAAAGTGGTTATCAAGAGTTTGAAAGTTTCTGAAAAATAGAACATGTGGAAAATGCAGAAGGAGATGCAGGCAGTGAAATATCTTATCCAAATAATCCAGTCTGAGAGCAAGATTAAGAAAAACAAATTATCTAATCTCATCTGATCTAAACCAACAGAAATGTTGGGGCACAACTGGAAGTAGGCATATTTTTGATCACCTTACATTTATATCAGTATGACACTTTACCCTAGATTATTTAGCTTTTGGCAAAATAAACAATATCATACTGAAAATAACAATGTTTTATGTAGAATATAATTAGATAATTAGATTAATAGAATAGAATAGAATAGAATAGAATAGAATAGGAAACCCCTGTTTGTCCCTCAGTGGGGAAATTAAAGTGTTACATCAGCAAAAGATTATAGCTAAAGTTGTCACACAAAACTTGAGCTTAAAAAGTGTATTAAAAACACCAGAATAAATGACAGAGTTAAGAAATAAACAAATTAAATACTGTACTGTAAAGTGTTTTTACAATATAAATACTGTGCGTCTGGAGAATAACAAATCTATAAACAGCTGTTGACATTTTTACAGTAATGGATATTTGAAAAAAGCAATGGCAGATATGCGCAAAAATAACATCAGCATGTTATTTAACTGATTAAGACTGTATGAATGTATATGTGTATATCTTTGAGGTGAAAATACTCTGTTTTACAGCTATACTATTACAAATGATTACAATAATAAAGAAAAAATGGATATCAATAGTAAATTTGTCTGGGATGCAACAAAATAGTAAAGTAAGTGGTAAAGTAAAAGGATGTGAACACTTTCATGTGTTTTTATAATATTGAGAAAAAATTTTAAACAATGTAAGTTGTACACACTGCAAATCTGATAGCTGAACATGTGCCTTTAAGTATTTTTAATATATAGAATAGACATCTCATTAATTTCAATGTCCTTAAAAGAAATCCCTGTTTAGTGATGCTGAATAACCCATCTGAGGTTAGCCAGTCCACATTGAAGGAGGGATGATTAAACCCAGCTCAGATTATTACTAGTAAAGCAAAATACAGCTGCAGTTTTTAGATCATATTTTCTAGGTGTTTATACAGTGGGAGGGAACCCTTTCAGACAGTATCTAAGTGTCTGAAACCTTCTTTAGACACTAAGAGCTTCAAGTTGCTTTCACACCTAACCTTTGCATTATTTTTTATTCTGGATGAGTTCAGTTTCTGGAACAGATCATGCTAATATAAACCGATTCAAGTAACCTCAAGGAGGTTACAAGTGCTGATCTTGGCCCGGTTTATGCAGATTCTGTAGTGTGAATGATGCCCATACTAGACCCAAAACAGGAAGACAGAATGTGAGGTAATAGCAGCACATTGGAGAAGAAGAAGAGTAGAACAGGGGGAAAAACAAACTGTGTGCATACATTTGAAGACAAAAAAATGATATTTTGGGGATTAGTGGGATTGTAACGATCTGCAGGCACACAAATTTGTTCATACATCAGGTAAAACAATTAAAATTTCATTGTGAAGAAAATTGCACCATCTAAGGGAATTAATTTAATCACCTCTATAGTTCCCTAGACTGGACCAGCTGTGGAAAAGGGCCCTGAAGCCTGATTCATGCTTGAAACGTGTGCAAGGTCCACGCCGCCAAACTACATCATTCTAGCACCCACGCCCCTCCACGCAGCGTCTGCGCATCTGATTTTCTGCACCGCGCACCTAGGAAAATTAATAACTGCATGCACAGCTGCATGCTGAAACATATATAAACATCTTGAGTACGGGTCTACACATGTTAATAATATCACCATGATCAACAGATTGCGAAAAACAGTAAATAAATTATCGTGACACTAGGATAACACAAAAAGGTTTTTTAAGAATGTTGGAAACAGCTTTGTTTTTTTACTGCTCCATTCTGTGTGGTGCTGCAAGCTGGCAGTCAGCCAGAGTTTGCCAGAATATTTATTCAGGGTGGAAATTCTGCAGCAGTTTAAAAGCTGCAAATACTGTGTTCAGTGTGTCTGATTTCCTCATGGAATATATGTATGTCACGCGTAACCCTGTCTTCAGTCAACCCGTTGCTGTATGGCGCCCTGGGGGACTGCCATACTGCTCTAAGAGATGTGATTTAGGGAGGCCAGTAGGTGGTGGATCTAAAATAATGTCACATTTGGGGGCAAATTAGACGCAAAATGTCTAAGCTGGAAGCCATTGCTGGATCTCTTTATTGAATTATGTGAGAAATCTCAGAATATGAAAATAAAATCAACTAAACATCCCAAAAAACTTTAAAAGTGCTCAGAGACCAGCTCAGAGACATAGTCTTCCCTGGGCCTCCTCCCAGTGGGAGATGGCTGGAACACCTCCAGAGGGAGGCATCAAGGGGGCATCCAAAAAAGATGTCCGGGCCACCTGGGTGACTCCTCTCGATGTGGAGGAGAAGGGGCTCTGCTTTGAGCATCTCCCAAGTGACCGAGCTCCTCGTCCTCTCTCTATGGGAGAGCTCAGCCACTCATACCACGACATATCAGTGCAGCAGCCGCACTGACCCGTCTACCAATCCATCATTTTCTCTACTTATAACAAAAGACAGGCATAGACTACAAGCAAATGTGTCACAAAATCCAAAAAGAACTTAACAAAGAAAACCAATTCAGACAAAGTATTTCAGTCATCATAAAGGACTGGTTTCAACCTTCACTTTCAGGGCGGAAAAGGTTGTGCCGGGCAGCAAAACCTCTGATAATGATTCTAAATCAATTCTAAATCACTATCTAATAAATAAATACCAGTTGCTACAGTTGGATAGGCTGGATTTCCTTATTCCTCTCATCATGTTGTTCTTTCTAACATTATGTTCCTAATCTTTTCTTATATCTTCACCTGCGGATCATTCTTCCTTCCTCAAATCTGCAATTTGGTATTTCTCATCCCTCTCTTTTTTGCCAAAAAATTAGAAATATCTTGACTTTTAAATTCCCTTTTTATTACGATCTGCAAAAATTAGTCATCTTATTATGGCATTAAGTCTATAACTATATGAAACCAGAAATTACCTATCACAGGATGCACAAACCGTTCAATTATTCAATCTTGTTCTCATGGCAGCCAGCTTATTACTTTTACATTACATTTAAGATAAAATGTATATTACAGCAATGTGTTACAGAGTTTTTTTTGGTAAAATTAGAGTTTAATGTAGGCTGTAAGGGGCTGTGGTCAAAGAATTCATAATTAAAATGATTACTTTAATGATATAAATGTGAGGGGGCAAGGCCTTACAGCAGGTGGGCAGTTGCCCCCAATTGACAATTATAGATCAGCTCCTGCAAGGGATGGGCTACGAATGAAAAAAAAAAATATTTAGAGAGCAAAAAAATTAATAGAAAAGAATACAGGTATTTCATTAATTACAAACTTGGAAATTGAGTTTTTATGCTGATGAGTTTTATTTCACCGTCACATTTCAGAGATCGGTGATAAGTAATAGATAATACAGTCACATGATGTGGAAAATATAAAACAGCAAAAACAAACAAAACAACAAAAACATGCATGATTAATTTAGGAAAATTATCTGTTGCCACAGACAATTTATGCATGAAAAATTATCAATATATGTTTTTATGTCATCAATATGATGCTTTATTGTGTTATTGTTGATGAATGTTTCTTCAGTTTTTTTTCTCAACTGGTTACAATACAAATTGCTTCTTGAGAATATTAAAAATACCTTAAACATATGAAAGTTAAGTCTTGGGGGAAATATGTGCCATGAATTAATGCCTAAATGAAGCACTGCTGTTTCTGTGCAAAAGTATTAATCTTTCTCTCTCTTGCAGAAACGTTTCCAAACTCTCTGCAAGAGAAAGTATGGAAACTGCCATACTATGTGGAACCACTTTATAAGACACACACGTGTTTACTAGATTCTAGTACCCTACTTTTGAATAAATTGAAAATAAAACCAAAAGCCTGTGTGTTATTTGCTCCTCACGCAATCCGCAGGGCTGTATTCACTATTTATTTTTTTTTATTTTACTGCTCCCTCATTAATTAGTCACACATGGAACCTTATGGCTAAACCAAGCTATCAGGAGGGGAAACATCGGGAAGATTGTTTGGCTTGTGAAGGTTAATATATCTAACTTAATCTACAAAGTCCTTATAAGAGCTTTGAACTGTTCTTTTATATGACCAAGTTACTAAGTGCCACTAAAGCTCTGTGACACGATGTGGTGTGTTTTGCCATTTAATCCCTTTATTTATCTTTCCCTTTTTAAACAACAGAGCTCTGTTGGATTTAAAAGTCTATTGCCAACTGTAAGATCCCCATAAACGGCACTGCAGTAAATCAGCATCATAAAACGCCTCGATACAGCATTATTGATTGTGAGGAGAAGGATTCATTGAATGGTCCCCGAGTGGGTTTAAACGGAGGGGGAGTTTGTTTGTGGAAGGCTGTCTGGCAATAAAGGGGACTGAGGGTTGGTACCCCCTGCAGAGAGTTTAGGTGAATGCAAGTAGGAAGAGGGCAATTAGAAAGGGAACAGGGCTGCAAAGGAAACAGGGAAACCTAAATTTAAAAAGTGAATGCTATAATTTTAATGCATGAAACCACTCATTGTAAACAAAATTAATGTATCTGGCAGAAACTTTATAGAGTCCTTTGATTATGAAGCAGAACCCTCTTCAGTGTAAATGCATGGCCGACAAATGGTGGGAAAATCTTCAGATGAAAACAACCTCATCTATAAGGAACACCCATTCTCCAACCAGGGGCAGTGAGCACAGCCAAGGATGGAATCGGCTGAGGTCTGTGTGATCTCTCCTCGACAGGCCGCTGTCTCAGCTCTGAACCGAGGTCTAAAAGGAACAGTGGGGCTGTAGTTCAATGCCCAAAACCACATTTAAGTCTCAAAACAGATGATAATAGACTGAGAACAACACTGCTGAAAATATTCATAAGACATGCGTCTGAATTTCCATTTTAGGTCTCATGAAGACGAGTTTTCCTCTTTTAGTGCTCAGGATGTCTAAGAACATCCAAATGAGACGTCATGACTTTGTTACCCTGGGATATAAACATGACGTGACAGAGAGACCCATTTCTTTTAGTCACTGGCCACAAGACTAGACCAGGGCCCATATTTATCTACCCATAATGCACAGTGATTAGCAGGATGGTTAAAAAAAACCCAGCAGCAAACATCGGTGGCCGATACATTTCCATTTGATGCCAAAAATAAAAAGCCTTTCCTCTTCCTACCATCATTAACATAAACGTGGCGTTTTTTGCATAACTGGATCAGGGGACTCAGCTCAAAGCGCTGTACAATAAAAGGATGAATATGTGGAAAATGACCTCATGCTCACTGTTAAGTATGGCAGAGGATTTGTCATACTGTGGGCCTGCTTTATTTCCAAAGACCTGTGGAGCCATGTTAGAGGGAAAAGCATAATAGATTAAGATACAGAGAGCTATTTAATGAACAAACCAAAAGAAACTAAAATGGGTCTTTGCTAAAAGGATAAAAAAAACTATTGCAAAATCAACCAAGAAATGATCCAGCATACAGAACTTAATCTTCTTTGATGAAACATTACACAGACCTAATTCCTAAACGAACCTGTTTGTTGGCAAGAGGGGAAAACTTTCCTAGAGTTTGAGAAGATTATACTCAAAGATCTGTCTGTCTATTTACTCCAACTATTAAAGAGAGTGCTGTAAAAACAGGGTTGCAGCATTTATTGCCAGCAGGGATTGCACTGAGGTAATGGTTTGCATTTTCCCAAATACTTTGATCTCAACACTTTTTATACATCTTAACTGGAGGGTGCCAACAGATATGACTGGCAATATTAATGGTTGTCTCAGAAGTTTTTTTTTTCTACCAAGATTATCTATAAGGGTTAGAAACAGCTTTGAATAAAGAAAAAAAAAAAAAAGGATTTTTAATGAAGTAGAAATCTATCTTAAGGTTCAGTGACATCTTGGAGTGGTTGAGTTTGTAATCACAGAAAGGTGAATCTAATTGCATGTATATCTTAAGCCATTTTCACCTTAATGTATCTCAGGTTAAAATGTGCCAATTTAAAATCTCAACCACTTCCCCTACAGGCATAGTGATCTAAAACATTAAACGAATACAGATATGTAAACCTTATTTCTGCCACAAGAGGGCAGTATGGAGCAAGTCTAGCAAAGAGTGATATTCGTATATAGTGAGTGTATTTTTCTAAAAGTGACAAGGAAAACTTAGACCACGCAGCACATTTGCAGTGTTTATTTCTTTCAAGTCATCCACTTAATAAATAGAAACAATTCAAACACCAGACTGAAATAGGAGTGAAATAGCTCGGGACTACTAGACTGAAGTAAGACAGGCACTTAAAAGAAAAAGAAGGATTAGTGTGCATCATCTAGTAGGATAACAGTGAGTTGTTTCTTTTTAATAACACCGTCAGGTAGCTGCTTAGAATTACACTGGAGGTACAGACACAGTAAAAAAAAAAAAGAAAATCTGATCTAAAAGCATATAAAAACATAAACCTGCAAACTCACAGCAACAGAAAAATCTTTAGATAACCAAAAAGGAAAAGAAACAAGATCACCTGAAGAATCTTTAAAACATTAGCATGCAAATGAAGCAAGTGAATACCCTCAGTGTTTCGCTGTGATGATGATGATTTGATGAGTGACTTTCTGCCGTTTGGTCGGCAAACATACAAGTTAATCACTTTATCCTTTACGTCTAAATGCCGCAAAGCACGCAAATCCAGTCTGAAAATGAAGCCGATTCAGCCTATGGTTTTGTTCTTCATTAATACCAACAGGAGGTGGAATAAACAAGCGAGGGCAGCTTTATGTGAGTGGTTATAACTTTATGCTAAAGCCCATCCCACAGAGATACCTGAAAACAAAGAGGTCAGAGGCAGATTTTCAAGCATATGTACTTTTTGCTGCAAACATTTACTTCTTACCGTTTTATCCAGTGTTGGTAAAATTAGTGTGTACATGAACCGGAGCAAATTTAAAAAAAAAACAAACAAAAAAGTTCACTCTTTTTTCAAACACTAATGAAAAAGCTTGCATTTTAAAAGCTCCCTTATTTCGTTGGCACAATTTTATTTATAAAAATCTCTGTGCCTAAACGTGTTAAAATAAAGCCTTGATGCTGAAGTTCGTTCAGAGCAGGTCAAACATGTAGTTTAGATTTGACAGCCTCTGGAGTTCAGGGGTTTAGGTGAACGCTGGGTTGCTTTTGGCAGAGGAGTGCAGCTTCGCCGGCTCCATGGTCGTATGTGGATGAAGGGTTTGTATTACTTTTTTTTTTTTTTTGTTAACCAAAGCCTGGATTCTCAGGTTTTCCTGTTCAACAGATGGAAGCCTTCTAGTCCAGCTTAGAGTGGGTCAGACCTGACTCACTGGCAGATCAGCATCATCAAGGTCCGGATTAGTTTCAGGAACTAGGGGCTCGAAGCTGCTGCGACGTCTCCACGGCGACTCCTCGGAGTCTGCCATGTCGACTGTAGGAGGCGGGGACGTCACTTGGCGAGGCGCGTCTCCTGCAGGGACAGGCGGGCCGGCGTGTGGCTGTGAATGGGGCGCGGCAGCAGGCTCATGAAGTGCTCGCTGTCCCACGCCAGGCTGCGAGCGTGTGCTGCACGAGACAGCATCCCCCCGCTCTGGGTAGCATGGTTGCACGGTAGATATGGGCGAGCGAGGGACGGGGGGACCCGCTGGGCTGCGGTAGAATGTGGGACGGTTGCTGAGTTCCTGTAGTGAGACACAACAGGGTGGGGGGTGGGGGGGGATAAAGAAAGACCAGCTGCTATTAGTGACTAAAAAATATATATTTCTGGTAAACATGGTTAATTTAAAGATTAGATTAGATTTAGCACCGGTATGTGGAGTCTGAAGCAGCTTGAAGGCTGTAGAAGCTGAAGAGGGTGGGATTAAGACTGGAGATAGTGGTGGTGTTGGTAGTAGTGGAAGCAGGAATAGGGAGTGTCAGCGGGTTTAGGTTGCAAAGGAAATTTAAAACAGAGAGCCTTTGGAAGCAGTGTTTGGCTGTTGCTTATTATTTCACAGCTTTTCATAGTCAGTTTTCAGTCTCTGGAAAAAAAAGAAGCAGGAGAAGAAAGAAAACAGGACAGAGACAGTGAAAGCAGAGAAGTCGTCGCCACTGAGCAGCCGGTGAAGGCTTAGTAAGACAAACATGACAGCAATAGAGCAACACTAGAGTGCAGCAAAGGCATCTGGCACCTCTGAGCTTCCATAGTTTAAAAACATAACTCTGCCTCAGTAAAACGCCTACTGATCCTTTCATGTGATGCGTTTAATAATCAAAACCGAAAAAGTGTTTTTCCTGGGAAAGGTGTAAAAAGATTGAAATTCATCTTTTAATCCCACACTGGGACCTCTGGGGACATTAAAGTGGTGTACATTTAGTAACTGTGGAGGGAAAATACATTTTTAGGTAAATTTAATTTACTTAAATGCATAATTGGAAAATTAATGGTCACCCTAATGACCTTATTTTGAATAAAAATGTAATAAAAAACTTTTGCAGACATTTATCCTTTGCTTATTAAACTTAAACAGTTTATCTGTGATTCTAGTGATTTATAATCTTTCACTGGGGAATAAATATGGTGACAAGGAGGTGAATGTGTTTTCATGCAGTCCTACCATTGTTTGCTTCCATAACAATAAACCTCTTACATGGCAACTGGTTTCTTGGGAGTGATGGTAGAAGAATAACCTTTAAGGCAGTTCAACTTGGTAGATTAGACCAAAATTGACATTTCCAGGAACAAACCATCTAGAATTCCAAAAAACAAAAAACAAAACAAAAAGAAAAACAATTCCCTGGAGTTCGTTTCCAAGTTTGAAGACGTTTTGCTTCCCATCCAGGAAGCTTTTTCCAATTCAAAATTACATTATTAGCGTTGAGTTTGAGGTTTTATACAGTACAAAAAGCCTTGTTTTTGTTTTGAAAACATGGAAATTGGAACAGACGAAGGGGTCAACCAATTTGGAGTGGGGGTCCTTTGGTTCCAATTTGCATGTTTTCAAAACAAAAACAAGGCTTTGTTGGGCTAATGTATAAAACTCAAGCTCAACGTTATTCCTGTCATTTTGAATAGAAAAAGCTTCCTGGATGGGAAGCAAAACGTCTTCAAACCTGGAAACCAAGTCCAGTGGATTGTTTTTAATTTTTTTGAATGACTATGACCTGGATGACTGAGCACCTTCACCAGCAACCATCTAGAATATCTGACAGAGCATTTAAAACCACTGCTGAGTGCAGAAGGATTTATGTTGCCACACGTTCCCTGCCTAAAGACTCTCCTAACTGCGGTTAAAGTGCACAACTTGGTCAACTATTTGTAATATGAGGAAGTCGTGAATAAAAATCTGGCGGGGAGTACCAGAGTACTGGGTATTGTCCATGACTAGGTTTTTAGGAAGAATGATCTGAGGGTCGTAAAGTGATTTATTGGAAATAAAAATCCACGTCCTTCAAAGGCCACCTTAAGGCAGCTGGGTAATCCATGAGGAGAGAGCAATCTGTTCCTGCTCCCACAGCTCAGACAGAAAGATAACAAAATGATCTTCCCTTTTTGTTTTCCACTCACAATTTTTGTTCTGGGTGTGTAAATGATAGCTTTATGACACGTCTTATGGAGTATTTTGCTCTCGTCCACTTCCTCCTCCTCCTTCATTAATCCCAAAGTACTGATTTTTCCCTCAACTATGAATAATCAGAGCCAAATAAACTTTGTTCTTGTTACTTTGAGAACAAGAACTAATCCATCAGTTCTCCCAGAGCTCATAATGACCTTTACCCCCTGTTCTACATCCTTTATAAAAACAGAGGAGAGAATGTGGGACTAGGGATGGTTAGAAACGTAAGGTCAAATAAATTAGCTATAAAGTTTTATAAAAGATGAGCATTTATTTGTTTTACTGGCAAAAAAGTAAAACATCTAGTAACTATAGATGGATTTTCTGAAGGTTTTATTGTTTCTGTTAATTCTTCCAACCATTTATCAGGAGACTCATTATATCAATTCAAAATGTCCAAAGTGACTCTATATTCCAGGGCTTTTTAGGAAGTTTATAACTTATTACAACGGTGAATACCTGAAACTTACCCACAGTTCTATGATAGATTTTAAACACATTGAATAAACTTTTATAGACCTGAAACATTGTGACGTAGCTAAACAATAAACACATAATCTGCAGGTTTGGATATGAAGATTAGAGTTCCATAGAAAAAAAAATGTTTAGCACACAAAGGGAGTCAACAGGTTAACACATATATCTGGTTATCACATGGGAGAGAAAGACGAAAGTAAAACATACAGGCAGCGAACAGGAGGGAACAGGAGAGACAAGCAGGATGTCACACATCTAAGACAGGTACACAGCTGCAGCAGGCTGCAGAGAGAACAAGGCGTGGAGGGAGAGAGAAGGTGTGAATGACAGCAACAATGACAAACAGAAAGAGTATTTACAGTCAGGCTGCTGGGAAAGTCACTGTCTCTGGGATTTCTTTCTTTTTTTTTTTTTTTTTTACTGATATGCAGCCATTTAAACATCACTATCTGAAAAAGGCAATGGAGACATAACCATCCAATTAAAAATAGGTGCGTTAAAGGCCTAATATTTACAGTAACATCTATCAGATGTATGCAGTACACAACCAGACTCTCCAAATTATTAAATAATATACTACATTCAACAGGGAGGGATCTCATCTTTTTTACGTATGCAATGCCTGCATGTCACTCATAAGTTACCAATTAACCTCATAAATCAAACACAGGGCTGAGTATCAAGGTGGTATCTTGTTTTATGGATGAGGTTTTACAAAGAAAACTGATATTTATGATGTATTTAAGCCTGTGTGTTCCACAGTGATGCTACTGTGCATGCACACGTTTCATCATGACCTTGGGCTCCAATCAACCTGAACACAGGATCCACAGCTTATAGCCAACCTTTATGAGTTTAGCCCAAGAAAAAGAGAGAAAAGAGAAATGAAGAAGCGAAAAGAAAAAGGGGATATAGTGAGAGAGCTTGCCGAGTTATCGCAGCCATATTTAGGATGTGCTTGCTACTTACAAAGCTGTGAAAAAGAATAAGGTTCCTTATGAATTTCCTTTGCTTTGATCATTTTGGTTCACATAAATTCTAACTTCCTGAAAAAAGATCAATCATTATTTAAAAAGGTTTTTTCGATTTATTTCATTTAGGAAAGGGAATAAAAAGCTATCAAAACCAGCTCGGAGCCCATGTGGAAAAACAGCCTCCTAAAGCTAATAAGTGATTGATCCAGCGTCGACAAATGCCATCTAGAATAGAAAATCCCTTTATTGTCCAACTATAAAAAGACTTGCAATGAGTTTTTAATGTGGCAGCAAAAGAACTACAGCCCACCCCACCTTACAATAATGTTTTGATTCAACCAAAACCATAAATGGACGCACAATGATCCCAATTCTTACACCAGGTTATTCCAAAACCATCATCTCACCTGTTTCTTCTAATGACCCCTCAGATGTGAACAAGTGCTTAGATTATCAGACCCAAAATGAATTTGAGATCAACATTACAAACCAACAGCCAGAAATTCTCATTTAAGAGATTATATATATATATATATATATATATATATATATATTTGTTTATATTATTATTTTTTTTTTTTTTGACAGAAGGCCAAATTTAATTCCATCAGCGGCAGAAACTCATCCAAGTCCTAAAGCTGTAAAGCAGCCCCGGATCATCACACCACCTCCACTGTGTTTACATTGTACAACAAAGGTCTTATTTTTTTTTTTTTTTTGGTTTGTGGCTTTTACAGCCTCCAGGAAAAGATGAGACTTGTGTTGGTCATCTTAACCAAGGTAAACCAGTCCTGCAGGGCTACAATACAGTGAGATTTCTGAAACCCCCTAAATGAGTTGTCACTGTGATCCTGGAGTAACTTCATTTTAGTGGCCATTCCTGGGAAGCCTAAAAACTGGCTTTCATCTTCTTTCCAAGATCTCTGGTATTATTTCTAATCTGTTCTTGAACTTCCTTAGATAAGAAGAGCTCTGCTTTTCCAGATCTTAAACTTTATATTGCCTGTCAGCTTTTATGTTGGTGGCTCCACAGGTCTGCTAAAATTCAGGCCCTGGATGTTTGTGGTCAAATTAATCACAGACATTGAGGAATCAGTTAAATTTAGGAGGTTAATTCGCAATTCACAGGGCCATGTTGGTTTGGATAGCTTAAAACTTTTTTAAATTAGCTTTTGTATCCATTCAGGTGATCTTAGTCTGATACTAAACTTTGTTACAGGAACATGAATATCAAAGTATGACAAACAAAAGGAATCTCTAAGGGAGCAAATACGTTTTCACAGCAGTAGTACTAGATCTGGTTTTAGGTCTTAACTATTTGTAAAGCAGCCATTTTCACACATTCAATTTAATCCTAAATATCTGGAAATGCTCTAACGAGGTTACATGTGCAAACAGACACATGTACTCGGGGGACTTTTGCTCGAACAATATCAGGACCATAGAAGGTTGGAGAAATCTAAATAATTTCTTACTTCCATGAGGAAGTTGATGTAAATTATAAAACATATAATAATCAAAGAAATAGGCTGACTTCACTTTCAATATATGGGCTGTTCAGGGATTTTATCAGATTTTATTAACGTCCTTACGGAAAAACATTTCATGACAAACGCTTTTATGCCTTTTTTGCTTTAGTCAGACGTTACCTTCATACGCGCTCAAGTTTCAGACAACATGTCACTAAAAATCTCTTAGTCTCTGTATAAACAGCCACTGTAGTCTGAAAATAAAAAGCTAATTTTAAAGGAAATTCAGTTGAACATTGTTTTTAATGTTCAATGTGTGAAAAGAGCAAATATCTACAACCAAAGCGCCAGCCAGTGAGAGGGGGGGAGAAAATAAAAAGTACTGGAAAGGTGAACTTATAGCTTGTAAGGGGGATTTAGACGAGCTGACATACGTGCTGCTGCACTCCCCGATTCGAGATGTATACCTCTGTATACAGGGGTTCGACAGCCGTCTGGCCTGCCGCATCTGCAACAACACAGTGCACAGCAGGATTAGAGCAGATGGGTGGGATCCCGGGGCGACAGGACGGAGGTGGAGAGATTGTGATAAAGTAGGAAAAGGAAGAAGAGAAAGTAAGAAAAGAGGAAGAACAGCTAGAGAAAAAAATGGATTTTTAGAGAGATTGGGAGTCACAGAACGGTTCCAGGAAGCAGAGGTTTTGTTTATTTCTCAGCACCTTTCAGCTTTACCTGTCATTTGCTGCATCTTGTGTACTTACAAAAGTGTATAATTTACAAAACTCTGGTACTTTTCAGGACCTGCAGCAGAAAACTGACCCAGGCACTTTGTGAAATGTCTAATCTTTTGATTGTTTAACAGACACTGAATTTTACAAGGAGAATTAAATAAATTAACACGCTTATGATTGGTGTTTGGTGATGAGAAGTGGTAAAAAAAAAAACAACAAAAAAAATAAGGCTTGAAAGGCTCCATGCAATTACTGAATCTCTTTGCAGATCTATGTTCTAGACCAACATAAATTAGAACGTAATCGTAAATGGAAGAATTTTTTTTTTCCTCCCCTGCATCTTTTTTTTTTTTTTCCATTAACAGGAAACATTCTCTGAGTAAATATTTTGCAGAACCTCCTTTCTCTCTGGTCTGGATCCCTTTAGTTTATTTACAGTAAAAAGAGGGATGCTTGTGCAAGTAGATGTCTTGGTTAAGTTGGCCGATTTGCTATACTGTTTAATGAATCACATGATGGATGCAGTAGTTCTCAGTAAGATTAGCAAAAACTGGGAGATGGCTTCCTTTTGTGATCTATTAGCTTTCTATTAGCAATTCTATGACAAACCCCATACAGCTGTAGTGAGCCTCTATATCACCTTAACACACAGGTGGACTCCAGTTACTGAATTTAAACGCATTTGGATATTTTTAGGGGTGCTGACACATGTTTTTTTTTATATTTTTATTTGTACTGAATATAAATACTTTTAGTTTTACTTTACATGTAGGGGCTGATTTGTGTTGGTCTGTTTCATAAAATCTAAATAAATACAGTTAGGATGGAGGTTTCAATATGACAGAATATAAAAGAGGTCAAGGATAATAATTACAAGGCTGTTTGGTAACCAGAGTATAACTTACTTTCAGTTTATCCACATTATGACTTCAAAACTGCTACCCGATGTAAGTTAAAAGATGTTTATCAAGAAAAAAATGGGTGAAAATTATTTTCTTTTGTTGTTTTTTTGCTTGAAAGAAATTGAATTGAAAACTCCTACCACTAGATGTCAGTGTAATTCTCAAGTTCTGCTAGTCTTCCTTTTTCCCTGAATGATACTTACTGTAGCAGCTGACCTCCCAGGACCCCGCTGGGCTACAATGGCCCCTGAGACAGCCTTTATCCAACTGTGCATCTCCTCCGGACTGTCCGCCTAGTAGAGAAAAAAGAAAAAAAATTGTGGAGAAGAAATGGAAGTAACATGAGCTGAAACGCTATGCAGTCAGGTGCCTAAATATGGAATGTAGAGAAGGTAAAGAAGCAGATTGATTTATAAGATCAGAAAACTAAAATAATCACAGTCTAATCTAAGCTGAGAGATAACAAGCTAAACTCCTTCAAAGATGAAAGAAAACGTACCTGGATATAAAACGTCCTGGATGTGGTGACGACCTCGAACAGATTATCTCTCATCATGATGTCACTGCAGCAAAGTCAAAAACAACATCAAATCATATTTAGCTTGTGTACAGCTGATATAGATCTACCTGTATCAAACACAAAGACATATATTGTAAGAGGAAAATGTCAGGGCATGTCGAATACCTCTGTTTGCACTCCTGGACTTTGTGAACCTCCTTTAGTGGGATCATTCTCAGAGGCTCTTTTTCCTAAATGCAGCAGAAATCATTCAAGTATTTACTGAATACACATAATTTTATTAATTATAGCATCATTACTTGAAATCAATCCAAATACAAACTTTCCACTAAGCAAAAATCTCAAACAGACAAATAAAAACTCCAGACGTTTGTAATGTTCTTGATTGTTAGACAGAGCGTCTGTGTCCTTCAGGATGTTGACAGCCAAATACATAGATACACTTGTCAAATAGGGGCTGACAGAGACAAGGACAGGATGTGCAGGTTGTCTTGAGGACAGTGTGTGTGAGTAAAAATGGCTGGGGCTAGAAATACGGGGCGTGACAGGACATGTGAGGCGCAGGCAGTGAATTCCTCAGACTGTGAATTAAAACAAGCTGAAACTGGACTGCGAGTCTTGTTACTCTGTCTACTTCTGTGAATTGGAAAAAAAAAAAAATAAACCCAACATAACACAGTTTTTAAATATCTTTATTTTAAGAATTAGTTACCAAATCAGACTTGAAGTAGCTCATTGCATTTTCCTCAAGGAGGAAGTAGCGACGCTTCCAGTTCCTCATCTAGGAAAAAGGGAATAGCACGTTCAGTTAATTAGCATAGTTTCTAAAAAAAACGGAGCAATAGAAACTTTAGAAAAAAAAAAAAAAGAACTTTTCCAGGTAAATATAAGATGTTTCGTCTCTGCATACATTAGCAAACTGTGGAAAGCATACCTAAAAATATTCCTCCCGGGAAGTATATCCTTTCCAAAACCAAACAGTTTCCTGTTTTTTTTCTTCAAATCTCCCTTTCTCTTAACACATAAATGTAAGAATAAACTGCAGACATTTGACAAGTAGAGGAAAAGTTTTACTTTTTAAAAAGCTTCCACCAAATCATGCTGAAGAGAGTAATATTGTAGTCAGCAGCCCATTGCTTTAATGTATCCCTTATATTGGCTGAGAGAGGTATGCGTGCAAGAGATAGACTGATACAGTTTTTTTAGGCCAATACTAATACCAATTATTTTGACATCAGTCTATCTGTTCTGTGATGTGTATTGCTGATATTTTTGGGCCGATTCTTGGAGCAGATATGGGTTGTTCTACCCTTGATAACAGTAAGATAATGATTAAAAAAAAATAAGTTACGCAAGTCTCAATTTAAACAAAAAAGCAACATTTATTCACAAATCAAATAAACTATTAACAATAGATAGCTAATGGAGCAAGAGGGAAAATGCATGACATTAACGTGATCTGAAGACATGGCTGCTGAATTGCACTTATGAATCTGTAGACGCATGCATTAATCAGCCGATAAAGATAGAGGAAGGTGAATATCGGCCATAAATATTGGCTTGCTGAAGTATCAGTCTATTTCTAGCGCCTACTTTACCATGGCAGCTTTAGAGAATTCACATTTTAGAGCAACCAAACTGGTTGACAAAAAACGATTTCTTTTTGTGAAAAATAAGATTAACTTTTAAAAGAGTGTTGAATATTTAAGCTAAATATCATCAAAATATGCAAAATAAAGACCTGAAGGGTTTTCCGAACAGTAACGGTGAAGAAAGAGCTGATAGGGAGGCTTACCACGGCTCCTTGTTTCACACAGTAGCCTGACTTGATGACGCTGTGTTCTTGCGCCGGCCTGCCCAGAAAGTACGGCAGCTGACTGTGGGATCGATGCAAGGCCTCACGCTCTGATCTGTTTGCACCCTCACCACCTTCTTGCTAGAAAGACATACAAATTCCCAAGAGTGTCAAAGTTAACATGAGCTCTATTACACAGCCACACTTTATCAGATAGATAAAAAAAAAGAAAAAAGAACAGAAACAAAAATATGTTTATTTTTCACATTTGAGGTAAAACTTTTGAATCAAAACAATTCATTTTCTACAGTAATAATAATAATACTAGGGATGCACGATATTGGGATTTTGGCCGATATCCGATATTTTAAAACTCATGTAGCCGATAACCGATATCGATACCGATGTTAAAGCTGGACAAAAATAAGTAGTCTTTGAAAATAGCAGTTTTGTTATCCATTTCTGACACTTTGAAAAAATAATATACTAAAATATATTTTCATATGCTGATAACAAATTGATTTTTGAAAACGCGGTATCGATCTATTTTACTTTTTAAAATCTCGTGAAATTTCATCGTTCTGTTACAAACTCGTGATATTTTGCAAATTCTTGTGAGATTTTGTTAGTAAAATAGATCGATACCGCGTCAATATATCAACAAATAAAAATATGGCAAAATGTCGTGAATTTTCGGGGGATTTCGTAGCATAACGATGACATATAGCAATATTTCATTAGTAAAAGAGATTGATATGGTGTTTTTAAATGGCAATATATCAGCAAATGAAGATATTGTGATATTTTAATGTATCAATATTTTTTCCCTCGTCTTTAGAAGCTTTTAAGTCTGTAAAAAAGAAGTTTTTGAGGAAGAAGAAGAAGTAGTATTTTTTTTTTTTCTAGACTATAGAAAATATTGGTGGGGTGGCCGATGTCCGATATTCAGTTTTAAGGCCGATACAGGCCGATACCGATAGGGGACCGATTATATCGTGCATCCCTAAATAATACATCCACTGAACATTTAGAGTGGCTCAGAAAAACATATGGAATATAAATAATTGTTTTATAGATTTTGAATGGTCCAAAACACAAAAATATTTGCCTATGCTAACGATACCAATGTCAACACTGAAGGATTCTGCACCATAGAAATAGTACTGTTAGCTGAAGTCAGGTGAGCTGGAGCTCAGGCGTCAACAGATCCTCATAATTAGATAGAAAAAGCTTTTTTAACACACTGGCAAACAGTAGAGAATGGATGTGGGTGAGCACAAGTTCGCCTCTTACTGGCCCGGAGGAGTCAAACTTGTAGCTGTTCACTTTAAATTAACGAAATGCCAAACTGTTCTTTGTAAAGAATGTGTGTTTATCTTGAAATAATTCTTTACATATAACTAAGTTTTCCTCTTTTAACAAAGGGTCAGATGAGGTAATTAACTATGATGGTTACCGATCATCAATAGAGGAATTACCTGGTAATTTAATATTCCATAATTATACATCTGTATTTATCTGAACATTGAAACAATGCTTTAATAATTCAATTTTCATATAAAGATAGTAATTGGAGGAGAGTTCAGCACACACAAATGGGACTGACCAACCAGGTTAGACTATTGATCGGTTTTTGATTTTTAAAGCAGTGGATTTAAAATATTCTCCGTGTAATTTTAACACTGTACATCAAAATAATGAGTCTCATATTTCAGCATTAATCAAAATTTGGACCTTAAAGATGCATCATTTACTAATCATATTGAATTTAATGAATGATTTCAAAGCAAAAAGCAGATTCTGGATTATTTATTTTTTTATAAAAGTTTTAATTTATTGATAAAAAGTATTTTCATCAATAAAATGAATGAAATAAACAAAAAATGAAAACAAGATGAAACAAAAGCTTTACTGCAACAGGAGAATATGGGAAAGAGTTCTGAATTATAAACCGATAGAAGCTTTAACCAGAGGATTTTCCCTTTGAGTCATAATACTTTATGTGGATTTGAGTGGGAGCGTCTCACTCTCAACAGCAACACTCTCATTTTACTGGAGAAGATTCAGGACACTTTCTGTGTTTAGTTTGGCCCGTTACAATTCCAGTGGAAGCATTTCCAAGGAATACTTCCCCCGTACTGCAGTTCTTGTAAGTGAAAAGTCATATCTGGGAGTTTTTCATCATTACTTAACACATTTATGAGGGCAGCTAAGAGGAACTTGTTAAAACGTAGTAAATAAATCACATTTTATGCAGGGATTGTTAAGTCTACCCTGATTTTTTTTTGAGAAGTGAAAGGTGGACTTGATGTTTACCTGGGTTTGGGTTATGATTGGGACTCCTCCAATTATATCCGTCCTATAGGACACCTGTTTCCTGGAGCCAACCACGTCTGGCAAAACCTTCTGGTTTTCTGAATTCTGCTGGCTTTCACATGACTTTGGCACCTTAAAATAAAAACAATAAAAAACTAATTTAAAAAAGAGACACAAAGGGTTTGTAGTTATAGTTTCACCTTTGAGAAATGATACTCTATTTCTCATGAAGAGGAGTACATCAATTTGCATATGTCAAATCTGCCTATAGCTTCACACATTTTAAATCAATTTCCTCTCTGCTGGGCTAGGATTTAATGGAGAACAATGAAAGCAGTCCTTTGTCCCAAAACTCAGGGAAACAATACAGCATCCTGTTAGTCATGTGTTGACTCACTTCTAATTCCTTGACAGTCCCTTTTAATCAGTTCAAAAAAAGCAGGAAGAAGAAAAAGATGAAATATTAGGCAGAAGGAGCAGATGTGTAGAGTCGAAAACAAAGAAAGGAAAAGCGGGTTTTAAGTGACTTACAGTGATCTTGGTGGCTTTATTGAGAGCGTTGACCCAGTCTACAAGGTCCTGCTGATCATTGGCCTGAAGGAAGAACTTCCTCATCCCAGCATTGATGACTAACAGATCATAACACAGCAATGGGAATAATAGAAAGGATAAATTAACTTAAGGCACGACTACCGTCCGTAAAAGACATACTACCACCTAAAACATTTTGTGAATAAGATAATTATGTCACCATATCTATCAACTGCATAAGAAAAGAAGTATTAACTCGAAGATTTTCTTTTCTTGCTCAATAATAGATGTCAGATGAAAGGTGCTGCCAAACATTTTTTTTTAAATGTCAAGATAAATAGAAATTTTCACAACCATTGAATCTCCTCATATTCTGGACCTCAAAGAAAGCAAAGGGAAAGAAAGAACAAAGGTTTAGATCCTAGAAAAAAGTGAGTCAGAAGCTGAAGGGCAGTGAGTGGATGAAGGTCTGAGCAGTGAGAAAACTCCTTTCTCTCTGCCATGAATCATTCAGTTCTGCTATTCAAGCTTCTGTGTTTCTTCTGTTCACCATGGTGATGTCTAAAATCAGAACTGGGCAGGAATACCTGTCGACTGTAAAATGAACAAGCCAAACTCAGAGGCAATGCTGTTATTCATCCCAATTCTGCGTCGCATTTGGCTTTAGAGCAGAATGACACAGCTCTTCAAGAGGCTTTAGACCATTTTCCGTTTACTCTCTGAGGTCATTTTGTATAGACTTCAATACAGGAATCGACCAAAACAAATGCATTCATTTATGGTGCAAATATGATCCGAAACAACCAAGTAAATCCTGCAAGCTTGACCCAAGAAATCTTCTTAAAAAGCATTTGATATACATACAGCTCAGGTAATTGTCTGAAATCATACCCAGAAACACACAGATGTTCTAATTATATTCTCAATGTTTTCTACTAGCTGGGAAAACAGCATGTGCTTCCTGTATTTACATTAGGTTCTCCCTCCCTGAACAGACTCGATGAATAAACAGACTCAAGGTTCTCATGTGGTTTGTGGTGACAACTTTTAGTCACTTAGGGAGTTTTCCTTTGGTGGAAAAGCAGAAAAAGTTGCAAGTTAACAAACCTATCACCTGATTTGGAGCAAAGTAAACAAACTACAGATGTGAAAACATCCTAAATAAACTTGACTGCTCTCACATATATAACCAGAATAACAACACCATACAGTGTTAATCTTTTCAAATATGCCGACTACGTATATGAGATAGGCCTACTATTAAGTGAGTGTTTTAATCTTTAAAGCACTAAAATGATAAATCTTGGGAGGAAGAGCTGATAAGCATTGAAGCTTAAAAAGAAGTACTTCAAAATGATCCAGAACCATCAGTTTCAAAGTTTCCTGCTCTCTTACTTTCCTTTTTAAAGACAACTGGGTTTGTCAGAATATGGGCGCAAGTTCCAGTGAAGATGCTGGCCTCCTGTAGAAATCATAGCAAGGCATATGGTGCACACACAGCCGGACATTGTGTATTCACACCGCTAAATCAACACAGGCTGCCACTAGTCACACTAATATTTCCTGTGATTGAATTTGATGGAGGGGCGGTAAGTAAACAATAACAGAAAGGGAAGTTTACTCTTTAAGAACATGATGATGGCTGTAAATTTATGCTGCTCTTTTCACTTATATGTTGGCTTAATATGAATCGAAAGTAGGGAAGCAATTTATTGATTTATGAATGAATCTAAAGTTGACTAATCTAAAGTAAACTTATTGATAACCCACAATGTTCTTAAACTTTTTTTTTTTTTTTGTACCAAGCACACGCGAAAGGCCAATGTATTTTTAATACTATGCCGAGTTAAAGGTATAGTGGAGGACGTTCTTTTTCTGGGTGGATCATCTACAGTAAATAAGTGGTCCTCCTAATTGTCAATCATTCTCTGATATGTTTACGTTACGTGTTCGTCCACATTTCCACTTGCCGGTGTCGAGTCAGACATAGTGGAAAAATTGCAAATTTTCTTTTGGAAAGTAAGTTATATAAGCGATGCAAAGATCAAGTTTTAAAGAGAGTGTGCATGAGGAGAAATGGGCTCGTGCATGCTCTCGAACGTGCTTCATAGGCGTTCAAGAGCCTCGAACGCCTATGAACGCCTCGGGAGCAGGTACGGGGTTGTAGATGTGAATTTTTTGTTTTTGTTTTTAAGAGTCTTTTCAAAAACTACCAGTATACCTTTAAGAATTAAATATATATTGTGCCAGATGTATTAAGTAGTGACTGAATAAACAAAAAGATGTGTATTTACACATTATTTATAAAAGAACAAAACAGGAACCCATTAGGTTAATAACATATTAATAAAATATACGCTAACATAGTTAAAGGTTAGAGCTACAAGGTGACATCAAAGCGACGGACTATGTCGCTATTATATGCTGTCAGACTATTTGCCACCTTATTTTAATCCAGTGGGGTAACTAACTGGGATATAGCTTTCTGTTTTTAGTGTGATAAAGAATCTGTTGTTAGAGACTTTGTAATATAACTAGCGCTTTGGAAAAGGTTGCCTGTGTAAAGTCTCAGTCATCCGGACTGAGCAAAGGTCTGGTTGTATCCCTAGTCTAAATATCGAGGACAGATCAAGAGAGAAGATCATCTTAAAAAATGCACATTGATGGAGCTCTGATTGCCTCCACTGTAGCAATACAAAAAAACCAGCTAGGCAACCATTGTATAATATTACATTCTAAAACTATGCTGGTAAACCAACATTTTAAATCTTTTTAGTCCTATGGAGAGGCATGTTTTAAGTGCATAAAGACTAAAGGATGTTTAAAACTACACCTGAACAGTTTATAAAATCTGACTGTCATCTTCTAGCACCATTAGTGTCAGTAAACGGACAACAGTGAACAAGGATTCACTCCTAAGATTGAAAAAAAAAAGCATAAAGGCACTTTTTCAAATTTGGGAAGCTGGACTTTTTGATAGTATTTTGGTATTTGATTCTTTTGTTTGTGTTTGTTTTTCTCAACATGTTTTCAACAACACTTGCCAACCAAACAAGGCTGCAGAGAAAGATGCATGTAAACAATGAGGAATAGTAAGATGAAATTGTTTGGTTGCCAAACTCACCGAAGCAAAACTCTGCTTTGGGCCTCAGCTTTGTGGCATCGCTGACCTGAAGATGTAGTGAAAAGCTTATTCTTCATGTTCAATTAAACATTGTATATTTAACGACATTAGTTAAATAAAACAAGTACAATTAGTTGGAATTTTATTTACCTTAGAGATGTAGGTGAGCTTGAGTGAGCCAACACAGTCTGCACCTTCTGGAAGGTTCTAAGGCAGAGAGCAAAAGGGAAGGACAGGTGTTAACAAGATTAAACAACAGTGTGAAGTTATGACAATGTTGGTTTAAGACAAAAGTTCCCAAACCTTTCTTACTGGGACTCCCTTTAATTTACAAGAAAGTTTTCATGCCAACCCAACCCATCCTAACAACCTTTTCAACAGTTTAAGAAAAGTCAAAAGCAGTATTCCGTAAAAATAAAAAAAATATCCACTGGACTTGGTTTTCAAGATTTGAAGACGTTTCGCCACCTCTCCAGGAAGCTTTCTCAATTCAAATGTTGGAGTTACTATGACCTAGATGACTGGGAACCTTCATCAGTCAAAAGCAGTACATTTAAAATTGCAGAAAAAAAATCTACTACCCTCAAAGTACAATTATATATCTTTTTATCAATTTATGTTAGTGTGTAACAGAATTCAACATTGCTATCAATAGGGGTGAGTATTGGCATAGGTGTTCTGATACGATACGGGCCATGATGTTTGGGTCACAATATGATATTATCACAATATTGCATACAGGGTTCCCAGCTATCAAAATTAAATGTATAGATAAAAAAAGCAAGTGTTGTATATGTTCATCAGAAGATTAATCATTTAGATATTTTGGTATCCATGTTGCTTGGGGTTTGAGTGAGTCCACATCTTCCACTGTGACTGCATCAACTACACATATGGAGCTGCACCGCACAGCAAAATGGCTTCCAAGCGTTATCTTAAACAAATCTGATCTGATACAAACATATGGCTCAGGGTACCAAAAATACCCATCAGTATTAGTAGGTCCTGACAAAAAGCAGCTGCAAATTAGGGATGGGGCAATAAGAAAAACTGTGCTGATATCAATATCTTATAATATTGCTGTTATAACCGGTATTTAGCAATATCATAATCAAATACCCACAGTGCTGACATTGCTTCTCTGTTTCAGTTAAACACCCACAATCCAGTTGCATCACGATCACCGTCCAATGACCAAACAAGTACCAGACGATTTATCCCCTCCCCTGAAATGGCTAATAGTGGCCATAAATATCAGTTGTACTGATCGGATACAGATATGCTTAAAGTTATTTTCTTCTATTTTATAATCCAACTCATGCAAGCACTTTGAATTGTCCATATACTAAATTGTGCTATACAAAAACTTACTTGGCCTTAAAAATGACTAACATTGCCTTTACCTACCAATATTGATGCTGGTATATTGTGCATCCTTAATCCAAATAATTTTTGGGTCTATTGTCCATCATTTTACAGAGTCTAACAAAAGAAAATTTCCTTCTTTGTACAAAAAAGAATGATGTTTTGCAAAGGTTATTGCATTAATTAAAGATGGGTTTTCTGCAAAGAGACTTATCTCTTTCCTGCGTTTACAAAGACCTTTCACTATGACCAGATTTGCGCTCTCCAATTCAAGAATTGCGCTTTTAAACTCTCTTTTTCCAAAACACACAAAGACAGCTTCTACATACAGCACACTGGATGTGCCACTGGATCCCCAGTTTCCCCCATTGTGGCAAACCTCAATATGGAGAAAGAGGAAAGCAGAAGGCTGAAATTTACCCAGCCTCTGGTTTTGATATGTGGGCGACAACAGCGTCAAAATCCAAGCCAAAGAGGTGGAAGTCTTTACTGAACAAATGAAGTCAGTAGACAGCTTCATGAATTTCAAGAGGAAGGATAGTAGGATAAAAACTACAATTTTCTGACAGACTGGGGCACATTGACAGAAATGAAATCCTCACAACTGAAGTACGGAACCTATTCAAACACTTCTATCTCTGAAGGTGAGGAACAAAAGCACATCTAGACAGCACTTTAAACCTGTCAATACCTTAACAGAGCTGTTCTAAGGCATCCAGGAATACAAGATCAGCTGAAGGAGAAACAAAAAAGAGGCAGAAGAACACTGACAATCCATTGTGGCTGGAGTATTCCAGAAAGTGATATACTTCCAACCATCTTCCAAACCGAAGAGGGAAATCTCTAAGAAAAGACTAGAGTTTATTTGCACTTACAAATGTAATATTTGATGGGAGAAATTATCAAGTTGTCATTAAAAGCGATCAAGTTGTCTACCTAAAGCTAGTCTTAAAGGAAAATTCCGGTTTTTAACACTTTTAGCCCATTTTCTGTAGTGTCCAGGATGAAATCGAATGATCGACACCAAAATTTTGACAATTGGTCCTGTCTCTGCTATTTGGCTCATGCAGAATCCACCCCTGGCTGCTTCAGAATGGCTTCCATAGTGCATGTCCGATAATGTCCTTAAAACAACCTTAAACGTTCTTTTTTTAAAATATGCTACTCACCGGGTCGTCAGCGCTGTTCAATGACGTTCCAAAAAAAGTTTCGTAAAGAAAAAACGTTCCTGTAGTGTTTTATTTAGCATTTTGTAAATCCCATTGAGTTCTGTTGGAATAGTCAATATCCCTCCGCCACCGGAAACGGAAATGGGGCCTGTTTACGCATAGTTGTAGTCTTTTCGCTTCACTCTGTGTACTCCGACGTCGAGGTGCTAACGTCTCTGTTAAACACTTTAAAAAACTCTGAAAATGGAATACGAAAGGTGGATTCTTGAGGAGGACATATTGGACTTTGAGTTTGACGGTAGAGGATACCGTTTTGAACCGGAATATACTGAGCAGGAGTATATAGAGACATTGTCGCCAACTAGTGGTCTGGAGTGTGCAACGCTTCAGATTCGAACGGGAAGCGGAAGTTTATATGCGGTTGTGATGTATCGGAAAAAATAGTTCTGGGATTTACAAAATGCTAAATAAAACAAGACAGGAACGGTTTTTCTTCACGAAACTTTTTTTGGAACGTCATTGAACAGCGCTGACGACCCGGTGAGTAGCATATTTTAAAAAAAGAACGTTTAAGGTTGTTTTAAGGACATTATCGGACATGCACTATGGAAGCCATTCTGAAGCAGCCAGGGGGGGATTCTGCATGAGCCAAATAGCAGAGACAGGACCAATCGTCAAAATTTTGGTGTCGATCATTCGAATGCATCCTGGACACTACAGAAAATGGGCTAAAAGTGTTAAAAACCGGAATTTTCCTTTAAAGCCTTAGTCTCTTATCCGACGGAGAATTGGATCTTATGAAGTCAAAACGCTTGGAGCTCATTTTAACGGGGCTGGTCATACCACACACAAGTCTCTGCGAGTCACAAAAAAACATTACCGGTACAACTTTGGCTAAAAATATGAAGCAAAATTTCTGAATCACAAGTTAAACCAGCCAGGTTTGGAGGCACTAACATTTCAATAAATGGTTTACTTTAGCCTGAAAAGAGGTCAGAATTATGGAGAATTTAGGGGAAAATAGTGATCCTCTTTGAACTTCATAAAAACCAAACGTGAAACAACATGGATCCTTAGAATATATGTGTGATAATGAAGGATTGGTGCAGTGTTAACATGTTCCCCACTTTATGAATTTATAAAAGCGGCCAAACGTCACAAAAACAACAAACTTTTACTGGCTTCACCCAGTTCCAGAATTTTCTTTTCTTTTAACACAGTCTGCATTTTATTTTGCATACATTAAAATCTTTGACCTGTTGTATTTTAACAGCATGGTGCTCAGGTTGGTTATGAATCCTGCCCTGTACAGATCAGGGCATCTACTCAAACAGTAGGAGCCTCTTTACAGGCACTGCAGCCAGCGTGACAGGAAAAATAATGGCCTCAGAGCTTGACCTGACCTTAACACGTTACAAGCTGCTGGTAAAAACAGCAAAAGCAGGATCTAAATTAACTGAAGGTCGTAACTGTCATCTGATGAGCCAGAAATGTCTTTAGAAGGAAATGATAAAGCTATGCAAATTTTAGGTCAAACATTATTGTGGTTTCTTAATCTAGTTAACTTCATGTTGCAGAAGCATCTTCATGCTACTCAAGATAAACTGCTAAAACAAAACCTTTATTGCTCTCAGAAAAGGAAAGAATATAATTCTGCAGGGCCCAGAAGATCTTTGGAGTCAAGTTAAATCTATCTAATTATTTATCTATTTAAGGATCCCCACTTAAATAGTGCTACTCTCCCTGGGGTCCATTTTCCACAAAAATCATCACAATCAGTACATACAACAAAGTCCCAGTAATTGCCAAAATGCCAAAAAGATGTAGTTAAAGATGCACGGATATGAAAGTTTAAGGCTGATTACAGATTTTAAAATCAATGTCCTACCACTTTGACAGAGTGAAAAAAAAGCCCCACTGATATTGCTTCCCTGCATTATTTAAACAGACGAAACACCAGTGGAAACTTGGGAAAAAAAGCTGGTGAGGACTGAAAGATGCGATTGATTACTTTCATTTCCCACAGACTAAACAGGTATGAAGAATCCAAAGCCCCATTACAATTTGATTTATTCAAATTTAGTACCAGGCAGCAATTCTACATTGACTAAAGCCTTATATTAAATGACTGACTGTAACATTTTTATTTCTTGAGGTTGAAGTTATAGCTTAAAGTAAATACAGACTGTGTCATTATGCAAAAACTTTGGCTGCACTCCATTACCATCATTTTCATTGCACCGTTAATCAAAATAGGAGATCCAGTTTTAACATCATTAAATTTTAACCTTTTTTTATCTATAAAAAGAGAAGGACTTAATTATTTAGCATTCTCTCTGCATCATTTATAAGTTGCATGACAAGGCTCTGAAAAATACAGCAAATCAAAACCAGTAAGAGCATAAAAACAAATAATACATAAAAAAAAAAAAGAAGTGCGATTGAAACAAGAGTTTCTCCAACCCTCATCTTAAATGATTTACAGGAAAGTCGGCCAGCAGCTAAAACCCAGACACACTGTTTGCTCCGAGTTACTCCTGGGCCTAAAATATGTGCTTCCCAATTCTGTCAGCTACAATTACATAATTACAAGTTCTCTTACCCTCATGAGGCTGCCCGGCAATGGAAACATTTATGAGACTTAATTTTGCGCTCATGATGAATGAGAGAGGTTAGGTTTAAGTTGCTTTCAGCTGCAGGATAGCTGATCATCGCTACAGATAACGGGCAGATGACAGCTGGCACCCAGCTGCTTCAAAATGACCAACGCTCCATCAACAGAAACCACAAACATGGACATGTGGAGCTGCATGAAGATTTCCTTTCTTTTCAGTAGGTTTATAACCACAAAAGAAAAGCTAAAGAGCTAAGCTAATACCATTAGCTGCAGTTACCTGAGGGTTATCCATGAACCAAACCAAGCTCCCCTGCTGTGTGTCCAGAATGAAGTACCGTCGCAGGAACTTGCCACTGTTCTCATTCTCCTCAATGTCCAGGAAGCCACAGATGCGGTTCTGTCGGTCCACATAAGGCATCTCGCCGCCGGGACATTCCCCGGCCTCGTTAGGCCGGGAGAGGTGAAGGGGTGACCAGGATCTGGAAGAATTCCTTCAGGACACAGAGAAAAGAGTGAAAGGGGAGATTTGTGAGGCAGAGAGGAGAAAACGAGGCTTTTCAGTTGTCTCTGTGACGAGTATTTCTCCCCCTTCTCTATTTCACATGTACAGTGGTCTCGCTGCCACCTGGAGCTCCCCATGCACCAACCAGTGAGCAGATCATGTGACACAAACCACAGCCCGCCTTTATCCCTTTATATCAGCCTCACCCACTCGCTCTTCGTCTTTTTTTTTTTTCTTTTTCTGTAACACATACTCAACACTGTCACTCTCTCTTTTACTTCCTCAGCCCGGTTACTCGCTCCCTTTTCCCCCACCTTTTTTGCTTTGCAGTTGGCTCCTTTTTCACTTTCCGAGCTCTCTCCCCTTCAAACTGCTCGCTCATCTGATTTGGCAAGCCTCTGTCCAACCCCTCCTGCCTCCTCCCTCCTACAGCTCGCTACTCACTCCAACATAGAGGGAATATGCAATCCTTAACCTGGTTACTCACATCCCTGAAACCTTCTGCATTCTGTTAACAGAAATCAGTCAATGATTAGGAAAGCCTCTGCGTGTATGCGTGCAAAGGCTCACATCTCAATGTCAAAGCTGCGTGGGTGGGTGCAGAGTCACTGTAGACACACTGTCGCATCAGGCTGTTTAAGCTGTTGTCTTTTTGGACCAGGCCTAAAATATGGAAATATGGTGGAGGGCAGGAGATAAAAGGGCTCTTTCTCCACAACATTATGTGCACTGTGTGGGTGGACAGGGGGCAGAAAGGGGACAAAAGGCTTAGTTGTTATGCACGGACTCTGGGCTGCGAGCGTCTCACTGAGTCCCTGCATGCACCAGAGTCCTCCTATCGGACACACAGGCAGGAGAAAGGGGCAGCAGTAAGAAGCAGCGAGCTCAGCACAAAAACAAATACCAACTGTCACGAGAGAAGCAGCCTAGCTCAGAAAACCAGCCGTAAAGCGGGGATCTTAGTTATGATCCCAAAGGTAGCGCAACAGAGAAAAGCTAATAGAGAAATAAACATACTTTACAGTGATATGAGGAAACAGATAAACGATTTAATTAGTGTAATTTTTTTTTTTTTTTTTTAAATAATAGTAAATTTAAAGAGTCAAATAAGAATACTGCCAATACGGGGGTGACTTTTGTAAGCCAATTCATTAATATTACAATGCATATCTAATGAGGTTTGTGCAGCATCTCAAACATGAAAGGATCTAATACTGTCGACAACAGTATAAATCAAGTGTAAGGCATTCACACTTTTTACATAGATAATCAACATTAGATTTAGTCACTCAGCAAAGTATAATTGCTAATTATACTATATCATCCACATATTGCTGCCAAGCAGTCCAGCAACCTATATAATAAAAGATAATTCAGTACATTTCATCTACCACAGTATGTAGTAAGGCTCGATCATAGGTCCAAAACTTAAATTACAAGATTGACTGTAATTTGTTTAAGAAAAACACACCTAAGCCCGAACAACTACATTCACAAATAACTATAATAAATAAGTTAAACTTAAAACTAGCTCTGAAAATACACACTGAATGTCTTAGTTTGAAAAAAATCTAACTTTTGACAAAAACCTTATTGACACAGCACTTCACAATGATCAGTTAGTTTGTAGAAAGTCGGTTTATTTTCAACGTCTCATTATTTTGGCCGCTCACACTGAGCCTGGATCTGCTAGAGGTTTCTTCCTGTTAAAAGGGAGTTTTTCCTCTCAACTGTCGCTACAAACATGCTTAGTGTGAGGGATTGCATTTGAGTCAATGAGTCAATGCAATCAACTGGTTTTCCTTAGATAGAAAACTTTGAATCAATCTGACTGGATGATCTGGTTGAACTGTAAAGTGCCTTGAGATGACTTGTGTTGTGAATTGCCGCCATATAAATAAACTGAAATGAATTGAATTATTTTCCAATTCTGTCCTATTGCTCCTTTTTTCTGGGCACAGCAAGCGTGGAAAATAGTAACATTTGAACCAAACTTTTATCTCAGAAAGGATCAGCCGGGTACAGTCTATTCAAAACTGAGACGGTGGTTACCTTATCATGGCGCTCATTTTGTGGCTAAAATTGACTGTGTTGAAGCTTAGCAGCACAGCCTATAGCAGCAGAGCACACGCTCCCCGTCTGTGGTTTACGTCATTTAACGTGCTGCGCAGCTTTTGTACACCTACGGAGCTCAGAACGTCAGTCAGTGATAAACGCTGTACAGCAGACTGCAGCCTATGCCTAAATACCAGAAATCTGTCCAAATGTCATATCACAGTAATTGAATAAAATGATATTGTATGTGTTGATAGCTAACATGTAGCTAAAGCTCTTTCCTTTGCAGCAGCTCCACCTGTACAGCGACTGTTGACAATTAGCAGGCTGTGCAGAAATTTAAAGCCACTGTAACATGTCTAGTGCTTCTGCAGAACAGCCTCTAAAATACGAGATTTAGAGATTATGTCAGAACATATTGAAGACTTTACAAATTGTTATTTACTGGTGAACTTTCTTACTTAGCCGCTCAATTCAAGGGGAAAATGTGTTCATTTTAAGCAAAATGTACTTATATTTTAGACTTTGATGTGATGAAAACTCTATTTTCTTTTTAGGATTTGCAAAATAGGTTTCTGAAAAAAGTGAAAGCAAATCAATTGAATCACTCCCTTTCCTGATTTCTGACTTTATTAAAATAATTGTTTAAATTTCTTTAACATTCCCCTATTTAGCTGCACATGATTTCAATGTAGTTAGTTTAACATATCTCATTATTTATCTAATATTCAAAAAAATAAACAATGACCGACCCTGTGTATTTTAATACTAACTCAAGACTTGTTGCTGATAAAACTAAAACTGTTTTTGGTCTAGATCAGGGGTCTGCAACCTGCGGCTCCAGAGCCACATGTGGCTC